GATTTGATCAAATTAGTCATTATATGTTAATTATCTTACTTAAAGACACATTATTTCATAATAATTACCCAATTATACCTATCATCAATTTACAAAAGGCAGTTACATGACCATAAATTCCACAAATGTCATTTGCTCAATTTGGGTGAGTTCCTCCCTATTCTTCCAATTTCTTGTGCTACTATATTTTCTAAATATTTTTGGGTAAAAAAAGGAATGTTGACTTGATGGCTCTACAGATACTACAAATTTATAATGTTTTTATAAAATTATAACATTCTAAGGATGACATGCTATCTAAACTTCTGTTGCACCTATTCTTCTGTTGCACCTATTCTTCTGTTGCATCAATAGATCTATTCTTTGCAAAACTATGAATCACCTTATTTTAAGTAAACTTTTCACATTTATTTTAATAATATTTTTTTAATAAATCCACTAATTACTATTTTTATCAATTTTGTGACTAAAGCACAACAATAACATAATATGAAATGAAAGAAAATGTTCAAAAAACAACATTTCAACCTTTTGGTACATCAAGCTATGCAACAGGAGATATATATCTCTTTCTTTCCCTTGATCTCTTCTAAGTTGCCTCAAATACATTTCATTATTTCAAGAAATTTGATTCATATTGATGTGAGTCCAAAAAGTAGTCGGTCCTTCAAAATCTCAATTTTGAAATAGGACCTAAAGTTCTGCAAATTGGGAGGAAGGAGCTGAATTATTGTCCTTGGCCAAAACCAAAGCAAGGATTGAAAGTGAGATAAACCCAAAATTGTACTTTGAAAAAGGAAGCAATTAGGTGATAAATTCCATGCATGTGGTGGAGAACAATTTGTGTGCCCCAATTTTGGGTTCCAAAAAACTGAAAAATACCCCAAAACCAAACAAACATTGCCTCCTTACATTGTCAGTTAGCTCCATTTGGAGATCAGAAGTAGAACAATATTACATAATTTCAGAGAGAGAAAATCTCCAAGAAAGTGAGGGAAAGTGAGGGAGAGTCGGTCTAGGAATAAAAGGGGAAGAATTGGAGCGAGGATTTGGGCAAGAAATGGGAGCGAAAATAGATTTTCATAGATTTGCATGCTTTTGAATTTCGAAAACAAGGCAGAAAAAGGAGGAGACAAAAGCACATTTTCGTTTCTAGCATATATTTTGATCAGATGTCTCTCAGACAAAAAGAGAATTTGAGAAAATTCTGAAATTTTCTCAGCTACTTTCTCTTCCCTTGAATTGTTTTTCTGGGTCGAAATTTTTGGCTATGCTCTTGGGTTTGTTCTCTCTACTCCAAAAACCTGCGAGATTTGGGATATCCATTTTCAACTTTGGTTCTTGTACTTCATCAAAGATTTTGCTCTCTTGTTGCCATCCTTCAATTTCTTGGATTCAAATTTTTGTTTCTTGGAAATCCAAAGGTTTTCTGGATCTAGGTTTGCTCTAAGATTTTCTCTGTGATTTTGTTCTTCATAGCAAGAACAACCCAAGTTTGTTCAAGAGAATTTGTGTGCTTGTCTCTGAATCTGTGTTTGTTCAAGAGAATTCTTTTGATAGTCTTTTCCTGGAACAGAGTGAAGATTGGGTCTTTTGATCCCAAAGTGTGTATGTTTGTGTGAAAATTTCTTGAGAAAGAAAGGAAACTCTCATTTGGGATTAGTGGATGGAAGGTAACTAGAATGGCTCAAGAAGAGCAGAGCAAGTGCAGCAATAGTGCTGGTAGTGATGATGTTGTAGGGATTGGTGGAAGATCTTCCAAAAGGAAGAAGCCTAAGAAAGTCCCACAAAGAGGACTAGGTGTGGCACAGCTTGAGAAAATTAGATTAGAGGAACAGCAGAAGAAAGATGCAGTCGTGGCTGCTGCAGCTGCAATTCTGCCATGTCCATTTCCCACAACCATTTCACCATCCCAGAAATCTCCATACCTCCCTTTGCCAATTCCAGCTTTCCATCATCCTTCAGATCAGGCTCCTTCCACTCGTTCAATACCATTTCATGGTGATCTTTCTCCAGCCAATTCAATGTTTAGGCCAAACCCATATACTCAAAACATTGATCTTCCATTGCCATATACTCCTCTAGCACGGCCACCTGGTGCTGTTACAGGGCGCCGAAATGTTCAAAAGTTCTGGAGTATTAGTGGGTATAATCTTGAGAAAGAGAATTCTGGGGTAGATCCAGGATTGGCATTTAGGGGAAATTTCAATTTGCCTTATGATTCAGAGCCCATTTGGCCTCTGCCTAGTTTGATGCAGAGAGCACATCAATACAAGCAACCTTCTTCTGCATTGGTAAATACTCAAATGAATGGTTCTCTTTTCCATCAAAGTAACATAATTGACCTTGTTTTTGAATGTGGAATTCACATTCCTTGAACTTTTTGTAGGTGAATATATCAACAACTTCATCACCATCCTTGCTGAATTTTCACATGGAGCCCCCTTCAAACCAAAATTATTATAGAAGTCGTACAGTTTTCTGCTCTGAGGAGGAGACGGTATGTTCATTATGCATCCAATTACTGATTTTTTTACATATGTTCTAGTCTATATTCTCTATGACAGTTAATTCACACACAATGAAATCTTACAATATCCACATAGCATCAAACGAGTTAATGCATACCAGTTCACGCGTTTCACTAAAAGACCCATCCTACAATTTCTATGATGAAGGTTCCTCTTAAAAAATAAATTCCTTCTCAGAACTAGACATCTAATCATTGAATCCTTTTTTCCTGGGTTGAGATTGAATATAGATGGCTGGAATGAAGAGGTCATTTCCCTTCTGTCTAGACAATCCAGCAGGCCCTTGTTTCCACAACAAATATCCTCCCATTACTCATCCCACCAATAGATCAGATGAACAAGCGTCAAGTGGAAATGGAAACACAATCAATTTTGATCCTAGCAATCCCATTTTCAGGTTTGCTTAATTTTGGTCTTTTATTGTTGTTATATGACTGCTCTATTTACTTTCTTATTGCGTTAATTTCTTCATTTTCAGAGAAGGACTTCCATGTTCAACCTCCACTTTGAAGCCAAATCCAAAGAAAAGCTTCAAAGAGAATGGAATCTTTAAGGGAGATTTTCTCACATTAGCCCCTCCCACTTCCACTTTAATGTCTCCAAGCTCAAAATCCAAGCATCCTCCACCTAATTCACACCTCTACAATCTTGAATTCCCAGATTTTATAACAATTCCTTATCATCAAGTAAGAATAAACAAGTTGTCATGTCCCCTCATTTTGTCAGACCATTTGTACATCGTAATTGCTTATTATTTTGTAAATTTGTTACAAGGGATGCTTGGAAGATCCAGTAATTGGGGGAAGACCCGGCATATTGAATCCACAACTGCCATACTATAGCTTCTTTCCAGCGGCATTGGTGCAAGTTGGGCAGGCAACAACAACCATGACCACTTGTAATGGTGGTGAAGTAGGGGAAAGTGTTGATCTCAATCTGAAGCTATAACTAGTCCTTCCATTACATATGGTAACATTTTCTCCTTCTCATATCTCTATTCACTTGTATCTTCTAGGGACAAAGTGTGTATTTACAAAGTAAATGTTACAGCTGCAGTTAACGCAACACAATAATATGTTGAGAGCTACACAATTTAACAAATATTTCATCAATTTATAACTTTTTTCTTCAACAATTATTTTATTGAAATATATGTTTATAAATTAATTTTAGAACGTTAAGTAATAAATACCAATAACTCTATTAA